GGTGAGTGGGAAAGGGTGAGTGGGAAAGGGTGAGTGGGAAAGGGTGAGTGGGAAAGGGTGAGTGGGAAAGGGTGAGTGGGAAAGGGTGAGTGGGAAAGGGTGAGTGGGAAAGGGTGAGTGGGAAAGGGTGAGTGGGAAAGGGTGAGTGGGAAAGGGTGAGTGGGAAAGGGTGAGTGGGAAAGGGTGAGTGGGAAAGGGTGAGTGGGAAAGGGTGAGTGGGAAAGGGTGAGTGGGAAAGGGTGAGTGGGAAAGGGTGAGTGGGAAAGGGTGAGTGGGAAAGGGTGAGTGGGAAAGGGTGAGTGGGAAAGGGTGAGTGGGAAAGGGTGAGTGGGAAAGGGTGAGTGGGAAAGGGTGAGTGGGAAAGGGTGAGTGGGAAAGGGTGAGTGGGAAAGGGTGAGTGGGAAAGGGTGAGTGGGAAAGGGTGAGTGGGAAAGGGTGAGTGGGAAAGGGTGAGTGGGAAAGGGTGAGTGGGAAAGGGTGAGTGCGAAAGGGTGAGTGCGAAAGGGTGAGTGCGAAAGGGTGAGTGCGAAAGGGTGAGTGGGAAAGGGGGAGCGAGAAACACTTAGAATTGTGAGAAACGAAGTGAGGAGAGAAGTTGAGTTTTGAACAACCCACGGCGAGAGTGGCACTGGGATGGGGAGAGCAGGGGGGTGAGCGGGTAGAAATAGGGACTATGAGGGGGTGAGGCGGGTGGGAAAGGGTGAGTACGAAAGTGTGAGTGGGGAAGGGTGGGAAAGGCCACTATTGGAGTGGCGAGAAAGGAAGAGAGCATCCCAGTCCAGTTTGCAGAAAGACAACGTTGCCAACAAGGACAAGTGCATGAAGTGAGGGGCTAGTGGATTGGCAGGGAAAAGGGCGAGAGTGGGACAGCGCACATGTAGCGTACCTATAATCTCCGACGTCCCAGAGGCGGTAGGAGATGAGGAAGTGCGAGCAGGCAGGGGGGTCGGTGCACTGCACGTCCCCAGTGCCCAAGGCCGGGCCCTCCAGAGTCAGAGTCAGGTCGTCCGTCAACCAACTGCTCTCATTGCTGCTGCTGCTGTTGTTGCCGTTGTTGTCCGCGTGACTCCGATTGGACCCCAAGGGCGGGATCCAGTGAGCAGGCGGCATGACCCACACGTGTATGCTGCACTCCTCCCCCTGCACGCACCCACTGCATCCCCTGCCACCCACCACCACTCCCCTTCTGCTGCTGCTGCTGCTGCTGCTGGGGCTGCTGCGCCTTCTGAGGGGGCTGCTGCGGTTGCTGCTTCTCCTGGTGAGGTGTGGCTGAGCAGAGCATCTGCAAAGGATTGGAGTTGAGGAGTTGGGGGTCAGGTCACATGGGTACTCTTAGAACCCCAACTACGCCTGCCTCTGCTCTGCTGCACGCAATTTCCCTGAGAAGCACCAAGGAGGCAGCTGCTGCTGCTGCTGCCACTCCCCCTCCTTCTGCTGCTGCTGCTGCTACTGCGCGTGTGGTGCGGCTGACCAGGGCATCTGTGACAAAAATAGGGGCTGAGTGGTTTGGGGGCACACTGGAGAGAATACACTTAGCACCTCTCTCCCAACTGCCCCTGCCCCTTGCAAAGCTGCTGCTGCTACTCGCCGTGGTGCTGCCGCTGCTGCAGCTGGCGGTGCTGGCGACGGCAATGGGCCATGCGAGGGATCGGGGCCACACAGAACGGGTGATTCATATCCTCCTGCCTCACCTGCCTGCCTCGCCCTCGCTGCTTCTTGCAGGGGGGGGGACGAGCAGCGTTGGGAGGGAGCAGCGGGGGGGGACGAGCAGCGTTGGGAGGGAGCAGCGGGGGGCACGAGTAGTAGAACCTGAGGGCCTGAGAGGGGAGGGTGTACCTGAGGGGCTGAGGGGGGAGGGTGTACCTGAGGGCCTGAGGGGGGAGGGTGTACCTGAGGTCCAGCAGATGTGTTGAGACGCATCGACTGGCAGTCGCGTTGATTCCCTGCCCTCGAGTCGCGGGATCCCCTCGGGATTGTCCGCTCTGCTCAGATCCGACTCGCCGCTGCCTGCCTGCCAGGCACAACGGCAAGCGGATTGGCTCGCTCGGCCATGTAGCACGCGAATCGGATGGAAAAATCTGATCCCCCAGCTCGGGCTACTTATCGCGGCTCCTTAGCTCGTCTACTTAGCTCGTCTACTTATCGCGGCTCCTTAGCTCGTCTACTTATCGCGGCTCCTTAGCTCGTCTACTTAGCTCGGCTACTTCGCGGCGCGCGAGCAGTTCGCGGCGCGGGGTCATGGCGCAAAGATGAGCAGCGCACAGCTGGCATGGAGGGAGTGGGGTGCATCACACGTGGAGTGCATTGCTTGCAACGCGCACCTGCGGGATGGCGATGTCACCCGCGAGAGCTCCTGATTCCGGCCCTGACGCAAGCGCCATAGCTCCTGGTTCTGGGGAGTGGTTGAGCGGTGTGGCGGAGGCAGCGGCGGGATCGGGCGGTACTTGCATGATGGGGAGCTGGCGAGTCGGCTCGAGCAGCAGCGGTGCGCACACGAGCAGCAGCACGACGAACCCGCCAATAGCTATCGGCAGCCATTGGTGACGGACTACTGAGCGCCAATCCGCATCCACAGCCATTTCTGACCGCCTCTTGCGCGTCGCAGGAGCGACTTTTAGGATTCTCAAATGTGTCGCTTGAACGGGACACGCGCGGGGTGCAGGAGCGGGACGGTCGGTGGGGTGAGAAGCCTGCGGGTCTACGGCTTCGGCTTCTTGTGATGCGCATCCCAGCATCCGTCCTCGTCTGACAACACGCGTTCGCGTTGGGAGGTGGTACTAGAGAAGTAGAGTGCCACGTGGCGGTTGGGAAATCTGGTAAATTGCGAAGGGATTGGTTGCCTTCCTGGGCTGTCCCCACTTCGAACTTGGGAGAGCGAAAAGTGCCACCTGCCACTTCCAAAAGGGGCCAACATCATAGACATGCAATATAGTATGGTAACCCTATTCGATTGTATGCAAAACCGTCGATACCCCAGTTCTGCTGCGCAAGTTTGTCTGGTTCCGCCACTCAAAACACTGTGTAACAGCAGACGCAGGACAACAAAGGAAAATATCGGTTGCGTTGACGATTTCGTATCTTCGTGGTTCTTACCGCGCCCCGTTCGGCGCCTAACAAATTTTCATCCGGGCTACTATTTTCAACGCGCACGATACATTTTACGAAAAATCCATTGGAATGAAACTACACGGGGTCCATTTTGAAAGAATATATTGCACCCAATAAATTGCTACCTGCATTTGTTAGGGCAGGGCTGAAAAACAATAAAACCCCTAGCGACCTGGACGCATTTCTGGGAGGGATCAACCCTAAACACGGGAAAGGACATAGTTTTAGGGTTGATGCCTCCCTGACGCATCCTTTCCGATTGGGTTTTATTATTTTCTTGGCCCGAAAAAATCACGTTTTAGTGCAAAGTCAAACGCGGTAGTCATAAGCTAAAAAATAAAAACGAACGCGCTATTAAGACAGCTTGTCAATAACTCCAAAACTGAGGTAAGACGGTTTTGCATACCATTGCATAGGGTTACCAGACTAAGTTGCATGTCTATGATGTTGGCCCCTTCCAAAAGTGATGAGGTGATGATGTTAAACTGTAGCATGCTTGTAGGCTGTAGTGGGGTAGCCATTATGGGGTACAACCCCAACTAGGGTTTGCTACTTGTACCCAACTGTTCCATTCAATGCACTCATTCTTGCCTAGTGATTCTGACATGGTATTCAGAGCAGGAGGTCCCTAGGACCTACCGATCGTTTTTTTTTAGGGCCCACCACCGCTCGCATGCGGTTACCACGCTACCCCGTTCCCTAGCCTCGTAGCGCCCTCGTGCGCCCTCGTTAGCGCCCTCGCGCGCACCCTCGTTAGCGCCCTCGCGCGCACCCACGTCAGCGCCCTCGCGCGCCCCTTCGTTAGCGCCCTCGCGCGCCCCTTTGCTAGCGCCCTCGCGCGCCCCTTGCTAGCGCCCTCGCGCGCCCCTCACTAGCGCCCTCGCGCGCCCCTCACTAGCGCCCTCGCGCGCCCCTCGCCGAGCCGCCCGCTCGCAGCCCGCCCGCCCGCTCGCTGCCCGCTTCGCGGCCCGCTCGCTACGCAGCCCGCCCGCCCGCTCGCTGCCCGCTTCGCGGCCCGCCCGCTTCGCAGCCCGCTCGCTCGCTGCCCGCTTCGCGGCCCGCCCGCTTCGCAGCCCGCTCGCTCGCTGCCCGCTTCGCGGCCCGCCACTTCGCAGCCCGCCCGCCCGCTCGCTGCCCGCTTCGCGGCCCGCCCGCCTCGCAGCCCGCTCGCCCCGCTGCCCGCTTCGCGGCCCGCCCACTTCGCAGCCCGCCCGCCCGCTCGCTGCCCACTTCGCGGCCCGCCCGCATCGCAGCCCGCTCGCCCCGCTGCCCGCTTCGCAGCCCGCCCGCCCGCCCGCTGCCCGCTTTGCGGCCCGCCCGCCTCGCAGCGTCGCCCGCCCACCGTGCTGCCCGCTTGCAGCGCCGCCTGCCCGCCGCGCTGCCCGCTTCCCGGCCCGTCCGCCGCGCTGCCCGCTCGCAGCGTCGCCCTCCCGTCGCACTGACCGCTTGCAGCGCCGCCTGCCCGTAGCGCCAGCCTCGCCCGCTGCTCTCTATCCGTGCACAGTCGTCTTCCCCTGCTGCGGCAGCTTGCGTTACTCTGTCACACTGTCGCTATGGCTTCCATTCGCGTGCTGTCGTTCGATGCTGAGGGCCGCCCTGTGCGTTTCACCGCTTGGCTAGATGACCTGCAGCTGTTTCTCCTGAGCGATAGCAAGGAGCATGTGTCGCTCTATGACTACGCGTCTGGTGCTGCGCCTGCCCCTCCTGCCACAGCTGAGCTTAGTGTTCGTTCCCACTGGCAGACTCGTGACGCAGCTGCTCGCCTAGCCATTCGCAGTCACCTGCCGTTAGCTGAGCTAGAGCATTTTGGCGACTGCAAATCCGCTAAGGCCCTGTACGACGCTGTCGTCGCTCGCTACTCCTCGCCTGCCACAGCCGAGCTTAGCCGCCTCATGCTGCCGTACCTGTTCCCCGATCTGTCCACCTTTACTACAGTCGCCGATCTTATCACCCACCTTCGCACTAGTGATGCTCGCCTGCGTGCCGCCCTTCCCACCGAGTTCTGCGCTAAGAACCCCCCTCCACTGTACTGGACACTCCACTTCATAGTCACCCGTCTCCCTGACACCCTCCGCTCAGTTCGAGACCACTTCCTTGCTCGCTGTCCCACTGAGCTCACAGTCGCCCTCCTAGAGGAGCACCTGCTCGCGGCCGAAAAGAGCATTGTAGCTGTCGGTGCTGCTCGTGGCGCTCCTCGCACCCCCATCTTTGAGGGGTGTTCTCCCTCTCCCCTCGCTCCCTCCTACGCTGCTGCTGCTGCTGTTGACTTCCTTGGTGCTGAGTCTGTTGGCGCTGCTTCTACTCCTGGTGGGAGGCGCCGCACCGGCAAGGGCAAGGGGGGCAAGGGTGGTGGTGGTGGCGCTGGGGGGGGAGGAGGTGGGGGAGGTGGGGGGGGAGGCGGTGCTGGAGGGAGCGGTGGCGGGAGCGCTGGTGGGAGTGGGGTCGGTGGTGGAGACGGGGGCGGCGGAGGGAGCAGTGGCAGTAGTGGCGGCGGCGGCGGTGGCGGCGGTGGCGGTGGTGGCGGTGGTGGCGGTGGCGGTCGGAGCGGTGGTAGTGGTGGCGGCGGAGGTCGGAGTGGAGGCACTGGCTCTGGCCAGAGCTCCCAGCAGCAGCAGCGTCCCCAGACGACCCAGCAGCTTCGTGAGTGGCTTGCTCAGCGTGGGACGTCGGGGGCCAGTGCCCGCTGTTCTTATGTCATTCGCACAGGTGACCGCAAGGGACAGACGTGTGGGAGGTTCCACACCCCGTACCGCTGCTTCTCCCGCCTTGACGACGCTTGGCGTGAGGAGATGGGTGCGGATGTTGAGCGCCCCCGCTGGGCTGAGCTCATGAGGGCTGGTGTTGATGTCTTTGCTCTTGACTATGATGCTATTATTGCTGCCATGTATGCATTGACTGTTAGTGCCGAGGGAGACTGTTACTTGTGTGTGCCGCCTGACCCAGGTATAGAGCCCGCTGCCCTGGGTACTAGTGAGTCTGCTCTCTCTGGTATGGTGCCCCCTGTACTTGCTCCCTCCAGTGCTGTCCCGACTGGTTTCGAGTCTGCTCTCTCAGGTACAGCACCCACAGAGACTGCTCTCTCAGGTACCGCACCGGCTGAGGCCTGTCACACCTTCACCCTTGACTCAGGTGCTTCCCGTTGCTTCTTTCGTGACAGTACTGAGCTTACACCGCTTCCTGCACCGGTCCCAGTCTCCTTGGCTGACCCCTCTGGGGGCCCAGTCCTTGCCCAGTCCACCACTGTCCTCCCTTGTCCGGCGGTTCCGTCTGGCTCGTTGTCGGGTTTCCACCTCCCCTCGTTCTCGACGAACCTGGTGAGCAACGCTGTCCTCCAGGATCAGTGGGTTGACACCTTTACCCCTGGCGGACAGCGTGTGGCGATCTGCACGTGCTCCAGGACCGGCCGTCACCTGGCTACGTTCACCCGTCGGCCGGGGTCGAGTCTCTACACACTGACCACTGCGTCTCCCCAGGTAGCTGCTGTCGGTCAGGTGTCTGCGTCAGGTCTGGTGGCCCACGCCTGTGAGTGTCGTTCCCTGTCGCACCAGACTCTTCTCTGGCACCACCGCCTGGGTCACCCCTCCTTGCCACGCCTTCGTGGCATGCACCGTCGCCTCCTTGTGTCCGGTCTTCCCAGGTCCCTCCCTCCCCTCCCTGCCTCGCCTGCGCCGCCCTGCCTTCCTTGCGTCGAGGGGCGGCAGCGCGCCGCTCCTCACTCCTCCTCGTTCCCCCCGACAGAGGCTCCTCTGGAGACCCTCCACCTGGACGTGTGGGGCCCAGCCCGCGTTCGTGGTCAGGGCGGTGAGCGGTATTTTTTGCTGGTTGTCGACGACTACTCGCGTTACACCACGGTCTTCCCCTTGCGCACCAAGGGTGAGGTCCCTGCTGTTCTGATCCCTTGGATCCGCACGGTTCGTCTCCAGCTCCGCCGCCGTTTCCGGACGGATCTTCCTGTCCTGCGTCTGCACTCTGACAGAGGTGGTGAGTTTTCCTCCGACCTCTTGAGGACCTTCTGTCAGGCGGAGGGCATCGAGCAGACCTTCACGCTTCCGGACTCCCCACAGCAGAATGGGGTTGCTGAGCGTCGCATTGGCCTGGTCATGGAGGTCGCTCGTACCTCCTTGGTCCACGCGGCGGCTCCCCATTTTTTGTGGCCGTTTGCTGTCCGGTACGCCGCGCATCAGCTCAACCTCTGGCCCCGTGTCTCCTTGCCGGAGACCTCGCCCACACTGCGTTGGACGGGGGAGGTTGGCGATGCGTCGCGCTTCCGGGTGTGGGGTGCTCGTGCCCTTGTCCGCGATACGTCCGCGGACAAGCTCTCCTCCTGCACGCTTCCCTGTGTCTTCCTTGGCTTTGTTCCTGACGCGCCTGGCTGGCAGTTTTACCACCCCACCTCGCGCCGGGTCTTCGCCTCTCAGGATGTCACCTTTGACGAGTCGGTCCCTTTTTACCGTCTCTTCCCCTACCGCACTGCCCCCCTCCCTCCCCCGCCGCTTTTCCTTGCTCCTGGTCCCCCTCCGGTAGACCCCCTTCCCCCTCAGGGTCCTGCTCCTTCAGGTGTCTCTCAGGTAGACCCTCCTCCCGTCGCTGAGCCTGTCGAGGTCACAGGTGACTCAGGTGCTGCTGCGGGTGGTGCTGCTGGGAGTGCTGAGCCTGGGGGTGCTGAGCCTGGGGGTGCTGGGCCTGGGGGTGCTGGGGCTGCAGGTGCTGGGACTGAGGGTGCTGGAGTTGAGGGTACGGTGCCTGAGAGTATGGAGCCTGGGGGTGCTGCGCCTGGGGGTGCTGAGTCTGCGGGTGCGGGGCCTGGGAGTGCTGGGACTGCAGGTGCTGGAGCTGAGGGTACTGTGCCTGAGAGTTTGCCGCCTGGGGGTGCTGCGACTGGGGGTGCTGAGCTTGCGGGTACTGAGCCTCGGGTTACTGCGTCTGGGGGTGCTCAGGTTAGGGGTGCTGAGCAGTCTCTCACACCGCAGCAGCTTCGCGACTGGTACGTCCGACGCTTTCGCCGTCCTAGTGGCTCGGCTGGAGTTTGGGGTGCTGGAGCTGCTCGTCCTGGGGGTGCTCGTACTGGGGGTACTGGAGCTGCCGGGACTGGCTGTTCTGGGAGCACTGTGACTGGAGCTGCTGGAGCTGGGGACTCTGGCACTGGCGGTGCTAGCGGAGTTGGAGCTGCCGACTCTGGGGGTGGCGCTGCTGCTGGTGCTGCGGACCCACCTGGTGGAGCTGCTGCTGGTGCTGAGGAGTCGGACGGTGGAGCTGCTGCTGGAGCTGGGGACCCGGCCGGTGGAGCTGCTGCTGGTGCTGTGGACCCGGACGCTGGAGCTCCTACTGGTGCTGAGGACCCGGCCGCTGGAGTCCCGTCTGCTTCTGGAGACGCTGCGCGGCCGCGACCGTACTTCGTACCGCTCCTTCAGCAGGTTCTTGGGCAGGCTCCTCCTCCTTGTCCTCCTCCCTCCGTAGAGTGTCCTCCGCCTGTCCAGCCGCAGTCACAGTTACCGCCTGCCTCGCCTCTCCCTGCTCCCTCTCCTTATACTGGTCCCACAGGAGGTCTTACAGAGCGTCGTGAGCCTGAGTCTCGTCCTGCGTCGCCTGTTCGTCCTGCTCGCACTGGTAGTCGTGTCCGTCGTGAGCGTCCTCCTCCTGTCCCAGGCACTCACTACATGACTCTGCGTCCCTCTACTGCTCCTCGGCGTGTCCCTCTACCGTCTCCTCCTGCGTCCTCTTTGCCTGCCGTTCCGGACCCTGAGTCTGACCGGTATCGCGCTGAGCACCCTACAGTCACGCGTCTCCTTGCTACTGTTGTCACTGACCCCACCTTTGAGTCCTCGGCTGCGTCTGCTCTGGTCGCTGAGTTGGTTGGCTTTGCTGCTGCCTGTCGTCTAGACTACGCTGCTAGCCTTGTCGCTGAGTCAGAGTCTGCGTCTGTCTGTCCTCCGTCCGTCGGGGGTGAGTGTGCTCTTGGCACGGACGTCCTTGAGGACAGGCAGGAGGACTTTGACTCTCTTGCGGCTGCTGTACCTCATCTCGTGGCCTGGTTGCTTGCCCCTGAGGGAGACCCGGATGCACTAGACATCCCCACTCCGCGCACTTACGCAGAGGCGATCTCGGGTCCCTACTCCTCTCAGTGGCAGACAGCCATGGACGCAGAGATGGCATCCTGGAAGTCCACAGGCACCTACGTCGACGAGGTTCCCCCTCCTGGGGCGAACATCGTCGATGGCATGTGGATTTTCAGGGTGAAGCGGCCGCCAGGTTCTCCGCCTGTCTTCAAGGCTCGTTACGTTGCTAGAGGCTTCAGTCAGCGTCAGGGGGTCGACTTCTTCCAGACCTTCTCCCCCACCCCGAAGATGACCACTCTTCGGGTTCTGCTGCACGTTGCTGCTCAGCGTGACTACGAGCTTCACTCTCTTGACTTCAGCACAGCGTTCCTGCAGGGCAGCCTGCACGAGGAGATCTGGCTGCGCCGCCCACCTGGCTTTACTGGGTCGTTTCCCCCTGGTACCCAGTGGAGTCTCCGCCGGCCAGTCTACGGTCTCCGCCAGGCGCCACGTGAGTGGCACGACACACTGAGGACTACTCTTGCGGCTCTTGGGTTCGCGCCGTCTACTGCTGACCCGTCGCTGTTTCTGCGCACAGACACGTCGCTGCCGCCGTTCTACATTCTCGTGTACGTCGACGACTTGGTCTTTGCTACTGCTGACACTGAGGCACTCGCTCGTGTGAAGTCGGAGCTGCAGAAGAGACACACCTGCACTGACCTGGGTGAACTGCGTAGCTACCTTGGCTTGCAGATCACCCGGGACAGAGCTCGCCGCACCATCACCCTGACTCAGTCACACATGGTGCAGCAGGTCCTTCAGCGCTTCGGCTTCCAGTTCTCCTCACCACAGGCCACACCTCTGGCTACCAGCCACTCGCTCTCAGCTCCACCTTCGGACGAGTCCGTAGAGCCGAGTGGCCCGTACCCAGAGCTTGTAGGCTGCCTCATGTACCTGACCTCGCGTACCCTCTTAGCATCCTTGCTCGTTACGTTGCGCCTGGGAGACACAGGCGAGAGCACTGGGAGGCTGCTAAGAGGGTGCTGCGTTACCTGTGCAGTACATCAGGCATGGGGCTGGTGCTTGGAGGACGCGACAGAGTTGTCCTCACTGGTCACTCGGACGCCTCTTGGGTGGACGACCTGGCTACGCAGCGGTCGTCACAGGGTTACACCTTCAGCCTTGGCTCAGGTTCTGTCTCGTGGCGGTCCACCCGCTCTTCCTCTGTTCTCGGCTCTAGTTGTGAGGCTGAGATCTACGCCACAGCCATGGCTGCACAGGAGTTACGCTGGCTCACCTACCTGCTGACTGACTTGGGAGAGCGGCCTAGTTCTCCTCCAGTTCTGTACGGTGACAACAAGGCGGCTCTTGCCTTGTGTCAGGAGCACAGACTGGAGCACAGGACGAAGCACATTGCTCTTCGCTACTTTCTTGCTCGAGAGCTTCAGCAGCGCGGTCAGCTTCGGCTTGTGTACGTGGACTCGAAGGCCAACACTGCTGATATCTTCACCAAGGCGCTCCCGCCTAGTGATCATCAGCGGCACTGTACTTCTTTAGGCCTTGTGTCCACATTTCCTCACTTGCTCACTGCTTGACATTCTTTGTACTGTACTTTATATATATCTTGTTGCTTGCTTGCTAGGTTTTGATCACTGTGTTGCTTGTCTTGTACTATATCTAGCACTGCATGTGAACTGGCCTTGTGGCCTTTACTTGTGCTCGGAGTGTGGTGACGTTGTGATCCACCCTGGGCGTTGCTTTGCTTTGCTGGACTGGTCTTGTGACCCTTTGTTCTCCCCCACTTTGCCTATGGGGGTGTGTTAAACTGTAGCATGCTTGTAGGCTGTAGTGGGGTAGCCATTATGGGGTACAACCCCAACTAGGGTTTGCTACTTGTACCCAACTGTTCCATTCAATGCACTCATTCTTGCCTAGTGATTCTGACAGATGAGGAAGGGGTTTTGAGTTGATCACGCACTGTTACTGAACTTCTTCGCTCCCAGAGCAGCTACAGTGCTTCTGGCGCACTGTTACTGCCCTGTTTTAGCTCAGAGCGCAGAAACATGTGCTTTCAACGCAGTTTTGATTTCATTGGTCCACACATGGCACATAAATACAAACCAAACCTATGGATACTGACACAGCGAACAGTAACTATTTCAACGTTTTTAGTGTTAGAAACTGTATATTTACCCTTTTAAGAAGGGTATCACCCTAAACACTTTCCGACTGGTGTTTAGGGTTGATGCTCTTGTGAGACAAGCCATCGAAAAAAATGTACTCGTTGGAAAGGGCATCAACCCTAAGTACCTTGTCGCCCGGTGTTTAGGGTTGATGCTCCCTCGAAAACATGCCACCCGATAGGGTTTTATTTTTTTAATGCCCGAAACGCTAGCGTTTGACGGTTCGGTGGCCGTCAACCAAAGTAGAGTTATCGGCCCGTCAATTCTACGGCCAATGAAATCAAAACTGCGTCGAAAGCACCTATTTCTACGCTCTGAGCGAAAATTGGGCAGTAATAGTGCGCCAGAAGCGCTGTAGCTGCGTCGGGAGCAAAGAAGTTCAGTAACAGTGCGTGATCAACTCAAAACCCGATGAGGAAGTGTGATGAGGTGGAGGGGAAACGAAAAGTGCAAGCACTAGAGTCGGTGAGCACGTGAAGGCAACGGAAAAACGGCGTGAAAGCTGCCAGGCTGGACCCAGATATTTGCACTTTTGGGGGTTGTTCTCTCCCTAAAACCCTGAAAGGGCGTGTGTGATTTTTGTAATTGGCTTCGTTTACATGTTGAACATTGTTCGACTTCAGTTGAACGTGAATATTGAACTGCATTAACAATCAGGTAGGTCAAATCACACACCCAAGGTCGAATTTGAATGTTCGACCTTATAGGGGGTGCGCCGAGCCGATCGTAGGGGAAGTAGGTTACCAGGTAAAAATCTGTAGACATCGCGCCAAGTCAACGTGCTGACTGTGGTTTCCGGCGGAAGTTCTATTGCATCGCAGACGTTTCGCGGAATTCGCCACTTGTCGCACGTGCGCAAAACAACACCCGTTCGGTTCACTGTATATGCCCACATTTCTGCATTGACTCGTGTCGATTTCCGAAACATTAGGTCGCAATTGTCATGTGTTCAAAGAGAAAGTCTTTGGTCACACAGTTACGAAATTAACGAAGCTGGTAACCCGAAAAAGTTCGACCTGTTTTACGAACCTAGAAAAAAATCGCATGCGCGGTTGGGATTGGGTTGGGGCACTGTTTTTATTAAACCACCCACAAATAGTAAACTGCCCCATAACAGAATGTATGGTACTACCGAATAACGAGGCTAAAATAGGCGAGACCAAACTACATGAGTGTTATGCATTGTCAAACAGAGTTGCGCGGGAAAGTGTATCACAAAGCTTGTGGGTAAATGAATTGATGCTACAATGAAAGACGCCTATTGCGGATGCAATGGAAATAAATAGCGGGGATTGCACTAGGTAAAATATGAATACGAAAAACGGTACGAATATGAATATGAAAAACGCAACAAACGGTAAAGCGAATACGAATACGCGAAATATGCAAACGGTATGGTAACAAAGTGTGTGCGAGCTAGCTGGTGCTAGGCTCGCATCGAGGTTCGGGCTAGTCCTGAAGCGTAGGCCGACTCGGAAGGCCAGCGGTGCATGGTTTGGCAAGACAGTGCACGCAAAGTGTGGAGAGTCACTCTACAAAGGTAGTGAGCTAGACTACAGGGGTTGGCACGAACTACTAGGAGTGATTGTAGCTTTGCTTGCGTTCCTTAGCACTTGCACATTCACGGGAGAAGTTGGCAAGAGTTTCACTAGTAAAGTTGAGAATTACAAAATAATTAAACAAACAATCGCAACAATGACTACATCAGGCACCTAGCAACCCTGCAGCTAGCCTGGTCGACCGCCAGCACAGCTTGGTCGACCGCCTGCCAGCGTTGCGTAGAGGAGCCGCGCCAGCACTGCAGAAGGGCGACCTGCCAACGCAGCAGGTCGACGGCGTGCCAACACTGCAGCAGTGCGGCTGTCCAGCGTTGCACCCGTAGATGGCAGCAGTGTGTACGCTCGCAGGTGTGCGCAGACGATTGGCCCGACTTGCATCGTTGTGCATCCGTCGGCTGTTGTCTGCGCCTGACGAGCCACAACGACTTCGGGATACAAGCCCGATGTCCCCTTCACCATCGCGACCTCGACGACGTTCGCGTGCCTCCGCAGAACTCATCGAGCAGGTTACCCGGTCCACACGGACACCGCCAGGTTCTCTGGTCGACCACCAGTGCCACCGGTCGACCACCAAGTGCCTCTGGTCGACCACCAGGTGCCCCTGGTCGACCACAGCTCCCGTCGAGCTACCCCCAATACGACGGACCCCTTCCGTCAACCAGAACTGTCAACTGATGCCGCCGAGCTCCCCTCGGACTGTCCGTCGACCTCCTGGTCGAACTACAGGTCGACGGACTGCTCCGTTGACCTCCGGTCGAGCTGCAGGTCGACGAACTGCTCCGTCGACGTCCCGATCGAACTGCCCCTCCTAGTCGACGGCCCACCCGCCACCCAGACCAGTCAATTGCAGCTGTCGAGCTCGCTAGTCAACAGCAACACCACTGTGGTCCCCTGCAGCTCGACGAAGTCAGTCGAGCAGCTCTCCCACTGTGAACGGTCGGCTGCAAATTTCATACATCCGACCAAGTCGTTGGCGTTGCCCAAGCGAGGGCGGGGCCAACACTCCACTCCCGTTAACACTACCCTGCCGCGCTCACACTTGGGCCTCTAGCCTACACGGCAGTACTCCACGGAGAAAACTCGTCCTCGGCGTGCAACCTACACACAGCACGTCGTCACCGCACCAGCCGTGCAGGAGGGCACGGCACCTACTGCTGCACCTCATCGTCACCATCGCCGACGTTGGCAAGGCGAACTTGGCCGATAGCGACAGAGCACCGGTTGAAAGCCGGAAAATGCAGCGCCTTCGTCAGAAAGTCAGCCGGCTGCTCGGTGGTCGGGATGTACTTCAGCACAAACTTCTTGCGCCTCACCATGTGCTGCTGCCAGGCAAAGTGTCGCTTCATCTACTTGAGGTTGCCCGTCAGCCCCAAGCCTTCAGCGACTGTGTCTGATCTGTTGTCCATACGGAGGACAATATGCTTCCCAGGGTTGAGCATCTTGAACTCTGCAAGGAGGAAGCGAAGTCGACGCCCCTCCTTGCCGACGTTCGTGGCCGTGACGTACTCCGACTTGGTCGAGGAGAGCGTTGTGCACTTGATGCGCGAGCTCGACCAAGAGACGGCGGCCCTTTCGTAGACGAACACGTAGCCGCCCGTGCTCGTCCGGTTCTGCTTGTCGCCCGCATCATCGGCGTCCACGTAGCCGACCAGCTCCAGCGACTCTGGTCCACCACCAAACTCCAGGGCGGTGTCGCGGGTGTTAGCGAGGTACGCGAGGCAGCGGTCGACCTCATGCCAATACTTGGCGGCGGCGCAAAGGCGCCAAACAGGCACGGATGGTGTGGAACCCGGGCGTTTGTTCCTCACCGCCTACTCGGATGCTTCATATGCATCGGAACCAGAGGACATGACAAGTGTGGGAGGCTTGACTTGCTGTGTTGGTGGAGGCCCAACTGCTTGGGAGAGCAAGAAGCAGGTGGACCAAGCATTGAGCTCGGTGGAGTCCGAGTACATGGCACTCTTCCGTGCCGTACGGGAGATTGTGTGGCAGCGGCGTTTGTTGGCTGAATTGGGGGAGGAGCAGCAAGGACCTACCCCACTCTACTATGACAGCCAGGTTGCCATTGCTCTAGCTAAGAACCCTGTGTTGCATGGCCTCACGAAGCACATGAGGGTGAAGTGGCACTGGACGAGGAGCATGGTGGCCGCGGTTGAAGTTCAGTTGCGTTACGTGAAGACAACAGGGCAGCCAGCTGACATGATGACCAAGAGGCTGGTGGAGCAGCAGCATTGGAAGTGTTGCAAGCTGGCTGGGATGGCTCTGAACTGAGAGAGCAAGATCCTAAGGCCAACAATCCGAGGGGGAGTTTGTTGGTGCAACCCTACAGTTTGCACTCGGCTTGTTGTCCGTGTGCGTGCATGCGTGTGTGCATGGAATGGTATGAGGGCATGAAATAATATATATTTCATGTTTATACTAGTGTGTGTATGATGGGTCATGATGTCGAGTGTGTGTGTTGAGTCAATAGCGAGTTATCGCTAGTCGCGTGTTACACGGTCGTTTGTGTCCCGTGCGCGATTTCTGTTTTGTCGTGCGCAGTTTCTGTGAGGATCTGGTTCAGGAAAGATTGAACTATTCAATAATGCACCTGGGTACAAGGCGAGGCTATATATAGGCTCGACACAAAGGCAGTAACCCTGGTGTTACTAGAAGGTTCCGTGGGTCGCGAAGCGTCCCGAACGGGTCCTTCCCGAATCCGGTAGAAGGCAATTCGGTGGCAACCGAAAAGCCTAGAATTCGGTGCACTCAACCTAGTTCGGTGCCTATAACTATAATAAATATAGTAAAAGCAACGAACCTAGGAATTCTAGCAAAAGCAAGCAAAATAAAGCAAAGCTAAGCTAGATAATGCATAATATAGCGTAATCAAGCAAGTTTAGCTTAGCAAAGCCATCGTACTCCTTTCAGTTTGTATTTTGTCCTGTGTCAAACGTTCGGCGTGTCGCAGGTGTGTGCAGCAAACCCATCAAGAACTCAAGGATGAGTTTTGTGATGAAGAACCGGAGCCTTGGTTCAAGCTTCAAGTGATTTCGAAGCTCGCCAAAAGGGTACACCTCAAGATATTGAAGATAGTTACATTACTTTGTGTAGTGTAACATTCCCTTTGGTGTAGGCCCTTGTGAAGGGTAGTTTCGAGACCCTTCTTGGTTGGGGACAGTGTGGCACTGTTCCACATCACTGTACCTCGGCTCTTGGGGTTTGTAGGAGCTGGGAGTCATTCCCAACTCGTAACCCTCCGCACCTCTTCCTAGTTCTTCCTAATTGTGTGTTCTAAGACTATGACGTCTCCTCGCATTCTCCAGCGGTGCCTCCAGGGTGTCTGCAACACTGCTGTCACCTATGCTAGCCATGGTGGTGACTAACGCACAGCTACCGCGGTAAGTGCAAAGTCGGCCAGACTGAAAGCTACGTCCAGGTCGACCACCTTGGTCGACCAGCTCCAGGTCGACCAGTGCTCTTGTCAGCCGACCACACCCAGTCGGCTTCCCCGGGCCGGCATCACCAAGTCGACGCCTCCGACGTCGACCTCGCCAGGTCGACCTCCCGAAGTCGGCGCCCTCCCCTAGTCGGCGCCCTTGCAGTGGCCCCCGTGCAGGTCGACCTGCCTTGCCCACCAGCTCGCTCCTTGCTGCAGGTCGGCTGCTCCCCTCATACCCAACCACGAAGTCGGCTCAGCTCAAGCGAGGACGAGGCCTAACACAACTCCTGTTGACTCCAATCAGCTGCACGCACCTGCGAAGCAGGTGCACCGTTGTCCTGCGGGTGCAACGTTGTGCAGCCGACTTGCTGCAGCATTAGCACACTATGGACTTGCAACGTTGGCGGACCGCTACTCTTCAAAGCTGGAATGGTGCGAGCTCTGCTGCGCAGGATCGCGGTCGACCATGCTGCTCTGATGTAGCCTGTGTTGCCAATGTTATAATCACCATTGTTGTCATGTTTTCCTAGTGAAACTCTTGCAATTCTTCCCCGTAAACTAGCACGCAGCGTCAACACAGGGAAACGACTAAGTGAACAAATGCTACGATCACTCCCACCCCCTGTCTAGCCCATAGTCTAGCTCCTGTTGTGATAGTTATCTCCGTATGGTGCGGTGAGCGTGGACGGCACCGCAATGAAACCTTCAGTGTAGCTGACTTTTGCACTTACCTATTTCGTTCCTAGGCTGGTAGCTGTGTTGGTCACCATGGTAGGCGATGTAGGTGGCGCAGGCGTAGTGGATACCCTGGAGACATAGCTGGCTGATGCGAGGAGACTCCACGCAGATGGCGAGTACGGGGAGACGCTCCTCCTGGTGGTTGTCGAGGCCGGCATCCGCGCCGTGTGGGCAGCGGAGCACCCTTCTCGACCTGCTTCTCCTCGACCTGTGAACAACTAGGTCGGCGTTGACGTGAGCATCAACGGCTACTTCAAGTTTACACCGGACAGAATCTCGGTCACCCCCCTACTGGTCGGTCTATCCGACATCCTTACGTAGAAGGAAGCCATCGAGCCCCAGCTGGAGATGGCCGGTCTGATGGGCTTTGCCGCCGGCACAGTGGCGACGCCATTGGAGACCTACCCCGACCTGCATGCGGAGTTTCGCGTTGTGCAGTTGCTGACCTTCACGGTCATCTCGTGGTGCTGCTTGTCGGGCATGCAAATCGCCTTGAAGCCGTGCAGAGACTATATGGACGCCGGCCACCAGGCGTGGCACTTCATCGAGTCGACGTACCAGGTCACCGACGACTTGTACATCGGCCAGCTCAAGGAGCAGATGACTCACCTGCGGATGGGCGAGCAAGGGTCGGCGACCGATTACTGCAATCGGGCTCAGCGACTGCTTGCCACCATGAGGATGGCCGGCGTGCAGTACTCCACGGCGTTCTACGTTACGCACGTCCAGATGGGGCTCCCGATCAGCTACAACCTGATGAAGCATTTGATGGTGGCGTTGGGCACAAGGAAGACGCTCAACGAGGACTCGCTAACCTCGTTCATCCTCCAAGACGAGGCGATGCAGGAGGCTGAGCGGTCCATGGAGCTCCTGCCACAGGCAAATTGCACCACCCCGACGAAGCAAGGAAGCCGATCGGGGCAGCACGGCAAGCCATGCGGCAGTGGTAGCGGAGGTGGGAAGCCGGCGAAGGACGCTAGCAAGAAGAAGTCGGCCAAGGACAGCGGTCGTGGCCTGACCATCTCTCCTTCGAGTGCCCCGACCGTAGCGACTCTGACGACGACAAAACAAGGAGAGGTCGAGGCAGTTCGGCTGGGCGTAGCCCTTGTCGAGAGAGCAAGTCGCACAAGGATAAGCAGTCGACCAAGGCGTCGACCTCGGCAAAGGACGTCGACCTCGGCGAAGGACGCCGACTCCTCTGCTGGTGGCAAAGGGCGAGGCGACAAGGAGGCATCATGCACCCTGGTGGGCATCATGGAGCCAACCGTCTCGCTGGCGCCGAAGGGCGGCGAGGATTTACAGGTGGTGGCAGCGGCAGTGGTCCTGCTCGACAGCGGTTGTTTGCAGCACCTGATGGGGACAAAAGAGGCCTTCGTCGACTTGGAGTCAAGCGGCGACGTAAAGCACATACGCGGCTTCAATGGGGCGCTGCAGAGCGTTTGCGGGCGTGGCACCGTCACTCTACAAGGGGACACCAGGAAGCAGGTGCTCATCCCCGACATTCTCTACGTCCCGGGTGTGCAGGCGAACCTGCTTTCGGCTGGCCAACTGAAGGAGAGTGGCGTGAAGCTGCAGGATGACGGCGACGAGACGCTACTCATCTCGGCGGCGGGGAATGTGCTCGGCCAGGCAACGTACACCGGCCGGGTCCTCTGCACCGACCTGCATCCCTGCTCGGCGTCAAACGCGGCGGAGGTAGTGGCCTTGCAGACGACCGTCTCGGCGACGAAGTGGACGCTGGACAGGCTGCATGCGAGGCTCATGCACGTTAGCATAGACAACATCCGAAGCTCGGCGAAGCACGAGGTCGCACTGGGCTGGACCTTATATCGGCGTCCAGCGCCGATTCGCCTTGTGTCTCGTGCGTCGGCGGGAAGCTGGCGCGACACACATTCCCCGACAAGGGCTTGGACACCGAAGACGCCTTGGCCGTTGTGCACATCGACCTGTGCGGGCTATTCCAGGTGGCTGCCAAGGATGGCGGCTTATACTTCCTGCTGCTGAAGGACCGCAAGACCCGCTACGTGTGGCTGAGGCTGGTCGCGAAGAAGTCTGATGTGCTGCGGGAGTTCCAAGAGTGGCTGGTGACGGTTGAGCGCCAGGCTAAGAAGTTGGTATTGATGCTGCGCTCTGACCGGGGAGGGGAGTTCCTCGGCAAGGAGTTCACCGCCTTCGTGGACGGCAAGGGGATCGTCCACGACTTGACCTGCCCCTACACTTCGTAGCAGAACGGCATGGCGGGGCAGGAGATGCGAACGGTGGTGGAGTCAGTACGCACGATGCTGCTGCACATGGGCGTGCACCACAACTGGTGGCACCTTGCTCTGCGGCAGGCCGTCTGGGTCCGCAACTGCCTTGAGCGGTCGTCGCTGCCACCGGCGACGACACCGCATCAGCTGCTCACCGGGAAGAAGCCCGACTTGTCATTGGCACGCATGTGGGGATGCATGGCTCAGTTCCTGGTCCCCGAGCAGTAGCGTAGTGGAAAGCTGAAGCCAAAGGCCAGGTGGGACCTTCACCTCGATGTGTTAGAGGAGAGCAAGGGCTGAACTCCTCGAAATCACCGACAACAAAATGTCCAAGCGATCCCCGCTTTCCTCACATATCATCCTTCCATGGGATAGGGGGTAAGGGGTTGCTGTACGGTTCACATTTCCCATTCTTGCCTCACATTTCCCTTCATATTCATCTTCCCTTCGTGTTCGTACCATCCCCTCTCTTCCTCCCTACCCACCCGCCTCCCATTTGCACCCCCGTTCCCCGTTCCATAAGCTTATTCACACCCCTTCTGCTCCCACTCCCATTTCCCTTCCCAGTATACTCCCCCTAAACCCTTTCCTCCCCCACCCACCTACCATGGGACGCAGACGCAGCCAGAGCGAAGTTAGCAGTCTATGATCTCCCCTTTCGTTCTATCCTCCTCTCCCCTTCCCCCATCCCCCTTCCCCCTTCATGTTCTTCGTCCTTTTCTCCTCCCCCTTCCTTCCCGGTTCCCCGTACGCTTCCCTTCCCCCTTGCCTCAGGTAAAGTAATTACCACCGCCACAACGAACTTGGTTACCACTCTGCCATGGGTTTTCTAGTTTCTGCTGCCATGGTTAAATTGGTCATCATCCATCGCCACGGCCAACCTGGTAATTACCCTGCGACGGTTAACCCTGTTCCCCCTGCCACATGCAAGCCGAGTTATCAATGCAGCAGTTAATCAGGTTCCCAGTTTCAGGTACTTGATTGATCATTGCCACTGGTAACTCGATTACCACTGCCACTCTCTGAGGTAACCGTGTTACTGCTGCTGCCATTGGTAACCGTGTTACTGCTGTTGCCATTGGTAACCATGTTATTGCTGCTGTCGTTGGTAACCATATTACCACTATCACATGCCGAGCGTGCTGCTGCGTGCAACACTTTTTACGCTGTTACCATACCGCCATTTAGTGCAAACGTGCCTCTGTTTCCCCCTTCCCTGAAATAGCAGCTCTGTATTTCCTCCTCTTCTGGTTTCCCCCCTCTGAAATCCCGCCTCTCATTTCCTCCCTCTGAAACCTCACACCTGCCATTCCCCCTTCACAGCTACCATACGCCATCCCCTCACATTTTCCTTCCACCAGCCCCTCATTGCTCTGCCACTTGCCCAGCTCACCCACCCTCCCCCTCCTCTTTTCCACCGTGCGCAGATGACATACTCTCCTGCGGAGATAACTCTAGCAACGGGAGCTTGACTACGGGGAAGGCACGTGCGTGAGAGGGATCTCTGCGTTCGTTCACTTAGTCGTTTCCTTGTGCGCACACTGCTTGCTAGTTCGTGGGGAGAATTGGCAAGAGTTCCACTAGGAAAGCATTACAATGATAGTTCAGAATGATAGCAACAACATTGGCATGCATCACTACATCAGAGCTAGCACAACTGCTGGTCGACCTCCAGCGCAGCACGGTCGACCGCGTTCCAGCGCAGCAATGCTCGCACCGCTCCAGCGCTGCAGAGATGCGGCGCGCCAACGTTGCATGTCCACGGTGTGCCAACGCTGCAGCAAGTCGGCTGCACAGCGTTGCACCCGCAGGACAACGGTGCACCTGCTTCGCAGGTGTGCGCGGCTGGTTGGCGTCCAACTCCTCGTCACGTGCCCAGTGCAGTCATTCCCGCCCGTGACGGCGCCCATCAGCCACGTCGACCTCGGGATACCACCCCCGAGGTCGTCCTCGCCGAAACCTCCCCGGCGACCTTCGCACACGTCGCCCGGGTATCCCGGTCGACCGGGCAACCCCGCCTGGTCGTCCAGCCCAGTCGGACGCCGGCTACATCAATCCCGACGTCGCAAGGTCGGCGTCCTGGCGTCCAGGTCGGCGTCCACTCGCCCAGAACGCCGTCCAGGCGCCCAAGTCGACGTCCAGGCGCCCGGGACGTCGAGCAAGCGCCCAGGACGGCGTCCAGGCGCCCAGGACGCCGAGCAGACGCCCAGGACGGCGTCCAGGCGCCCAGGACGGCGTCCACCTGCTCGGCGCCCTCCAGCCAGGCGCCCCCCAACACAACGCCCTTGCAGTGGCCCCCGTGCCCACTGCCACAGGTCGGCTGCATCTCCCCCGTACACCCGACCACGAGGTCGGCTCCGCCCAAGCGAGGACGGGGCCGAACACAACTCCCGTTGACACTCCCCTGCCGTGTTCACGCTTGGGCCCCCAGCCCACACGGCAGAACCACTCGGAGAATAGCTCGGCGGCGTGCACACAACACACAGCACGCCGGTCACCGCACCAGCCATGCAAGAGGGCATGGCACCTACTGCTGCACTCATCAGGTACATGAGGCAGCCCACAAGCTCTACATAAGGGCCACTCGGCTCTACGGACTCATCCGAAGGCAGAGCTGAGAGCGAGTGACCTGTAGGCAGAGGAGTGGACTGAGGCGAGGAGTACGTGAAGCGGAAGCGCTGAAGGATCTGCTGCACCATGTGTGACTGAGTCAAGGTGATGGTGCGCCGTGCTCTGTCCCGGGTGATCCGCAAGCCAAGATAGCTTGTCAGTTCACCCAGGTCTGTGCACGTGTGTCTCCTCTGCAGCTCCGACTTCACGTGGGCGAGTGCCGCGGTGTCAGCAGTGGCAAAGACCAAGTCGTCGACGTACACGAGGATGTAGAACGGCGGCAGTGAGGTGTCTGTGCGTAGAAACAGTGACGGGTTAGCAGTAGAGGGAGCAAACCCAAGAGCCGCAAGTGTCGTCCTCAGTGTGTCGTGCCACTCACGCGGTGCCTGGCGGAGACCGTAGACCGGCCGCTGGAGCCTCCACTGGGTACCAGGAGGAACCAACCCAGTGAAGCCAGGAGGGCGGCGCAGCCAGATCTCCTCGTGCAGGCTGCCCTGCAAGAAAGCAGTGCTGAAGTCAAGTGAGTGAAGCTCGTAGTCGCGCTGAGCGGCTATGTGCAGCAGCACCCGAAGAGTGGTCATCTTCGGGGTGGGGGAGAAGGTCTGAAAGAAGTCAACTCCCTCTCGCTGACTGAAGCCTCGAGCCACGTAGCGCGCCTTGAAGACAGGAGGAGAACCCGGTGGCCGCTTCACCCTGAAAATCCACATGCCACTGACGATGTTCGCCCCAGGTGGGGGAACCTCGTCGACATAGGTGCCTGTGGACTTCCAGGAAGCCATCTCTGCGTCCATGGCTGTCTGCCACTGAGAGGAGTAGGGACCCGCCATCGCCTCAGCGTAAGTGCGCGGGGTCGGGATGTCTGGTGCATCCGGGTCTCCCTCAGGGGCAACTAGCATGGACACGAGGTGGGGTAAAGCAGCAGCAAAGCACTGGAACTCCTCCTGTCTATCCTCAAGGACGTCCGTGCCAAGAGCACACTCACCCCCGACGGACGAAGGACAGACAGACTCAGACTCAGACTCAGCAACAAGGCTAGTGGCGTAGTCTAGACGACACCGGGCAGCAAAGTCTATCAACTCAGCGACCAGAGCAGACGCAGCAGAGGACTCAAAGGTAGGGTCAGTGACAACAGTAGCGAGGAGACGGGTGACAGTGGGACTGGCAGCACGACGGGAGTCAGACTCCGGGTCAGGAAGAGTAGGCAGAGAGGACGCAGGAGGAGACGGCAGCGGAACACGCTGAGGAGCAGTGGAGGGACGCAGAGTCATGTAGTGAGTGCCAGGGACAGGAGGAGGACGCTCACGCGGGACACGACGACCAGTGCGAGCAGTACGAACAGGCGACGCAGGACGAGACGCAGGCTCACGACGCTCTGCAAGACCTCCTGTGGGACCAGTGTAAGGAGAGGGACCAGGGAGAGGCGAGGCAGGCGGGAACTGTGACTGCGACTGGACAGGCAGAGGACACTCTACGGAGGGAGGAGGACGAGGAGGAGCCTGACCAAGAACCTGCTGAAGAAGTGGTACGAAGTACGGTCGCGGCCGCGCAGCGTCTCCAGAACCAGCAGAGACACCAGCGGCAGGGTCCTCAGCACCAGCAGCAGCTCCAACGTCCGGGTCCTCAGCACCAGGAGCAGCTCCACCGCTCGGGTCCTCAGCACCAGCAGCAGCTCCACCGTCCGGGTCCTCAGCTCCAGCAGTAGCTCCAACGCCCGGGTCCTCAGCACCAGTAGCAGCGCCACCGCTCGGGTCCTCAGCACCAGCAGCAGCTCCAACGCCCGGGTCCTCAGCACCAGCAGCAGCCCCAACGCCCGGGTCCTCAGCACCAGTAGCAGTGCCACCCCCAGGGTCCGCAGCACCAGGAGCACCACTCCGAAGACTGCAGCGCCGCGTGTACCACTCTCGGATCTGCTGAATGGGGGCGAGCTCCTGGGTAGGAGGGGAAGGACTCGTACGAGCTCCAGTAGCACCTCTCCGGAGGCGGCAGTACTGTAGGTACCTCTCCTGCAGCTGCCGGGAGGAGAGGGCTCCTCCAGGTGTAGCACTCTCAGGCTCAGCACCCCCAGACTCAGCACCCCCAGACTCAGCACCCCCAGGCTCAGCACCCCCAGGCTCAGCACCTCCAGGCTCAGCACCCCCAGACTCAGCACCCCCAGGCTCAGCACCCCCAGGCTCCGCACCTCCAGGCTCAGCACCCCCAGGCTCCGCACCTCCAGACTCAGCACTCCCAGGCTCAGCACCCCCAGACGCAGCACCTCCAGGCTCAGCACCCCCAGGCTCAGCACCCCTAGCAGGACGAGAGTCGACAGCCACCTCGACAGGCTCACCCGGGTCTACCTGAGACACACCTGAGGGAGCGGCACCCTG